TACTACTACTACTACTACTACTACTACTACTACTACTACTACTACTACTACTACTACTACTACTACTACTACTACTACTACTACTACTACTACTACTACTACTACTACTACTACTACTACTACTACTACTCTACTACTCTACTACTCTACTCTACTCTCTCTCTCTCTCTCTCTCTCTCTCTCTCTCTCTCTCTCTCTCTCTCTCTCTCTCTCTCTCTCTCTCTCTCTCTCTCTCAAATGAAGATCTCATAAAGCTTAAGGTTGACTATGTAGGGCAAAACATAAACCATTCTGAAAACAATGAGCCATTTTAGCCTTTTTTGTAATTCATTGCAGTGGATAAATCTCAAATTGGGAGGTCTTCCAAAGTTACAATGTTCATCAAATTATGGAACTGATATCAGAACTTCAAGCTATCATACATTGGTCAGGAAGCATAGCCAACACTCTACACAGGGATTATCAATCCAAATATGCCTTCATACGAGTGATTAGGACTTATCCAATGAAAAAAAGAAAAATAAAAGCCACAGCAGCAAAAGAAACACGATAAAGCATCACAGGCCATAAGAAATCCCATCACCAAAAGAACAATCAGAGAAAGGCAATCTGGAATAGGAACGCCACGGTACAGAGAAACCGCCTGCACATGAAATATAGAAGCATCCAATTGCCAAGAAAAAACCCAACCTATATAAAACTGCTCATTTCTAAATTTTTCATAAAGGGAGTAAAGACAACTCCAGAGAGGGATTAACCTCTATAATAACACAAGGGCCCGCAGAAATATTTCCTTAAAACCTTTCCATTGAGAGAGGAGAGTATGAGAAGAAAAGCTAAAAGAGAGTCCAGATAGAAGATGAGCGAGCACCTGAAGTGGAGCTGGTAGTATAAGAAAAAGAGTGAATAAAATGTTCGGGCTTTGTCTGGTTGTCACAGAGCCCCTTCTGCTCCTGCAAATATTCCTTTCACCAAAATACCAATGAGCACTAAAAAACTCACATCCCAGCGTTTTTCTGGAACCGGAGTGTACACCGCGTGAATAGCCGGTGGGGGTCGAATCTCGTGGATGCGTGATCCAGACCCTCGCAACGAGGTCCTTGCTTCTTTTTCTTTCTTTCTTTTTTTCTTTTTTCTTTTTTTTTTTTTCTATGCTATTACGGAAGTATCTCTAAGTTCATGTTATTACTCTTTTCACGTTTCTAATTAATATTTAAAAAAAATATGAAAATATCTGTTTTTTATTTTTTAATATCAAAATTTTTAAAAATTTTTATTTTTCAAAAACCAAAATATAATAAGTTTTTAATTCTAAAAATCCAAATTCATATTTGTTTTTTATTTTTTAAAAACCAAAAATTTTCATATTAAAATCCGTAAAATAACATTATCTTACTAGCATTTTTCTTTATTTTTTAGGGTTCCAAAAAAAATTCTCTCTCCCCTAGTCTACTACTCACCGTCTCAATGTCTCTCTCTCTAACCCAAAAACTTGAATGTATTTGCAATATGTCTCGTCGTGATTGGTACATTTCTTATTCTTGTCCTATACTATTGATTAAATTTGTCTAAATTAATGCAATATTGATTAAATTAATGTAATATTGATTAAATTTGTATTTATCTTTGAAGTGCAATATTTTGTATTTGTATTGATATTTGTTATTTATCTTTGAAGTGGACTTTTTTTGAGTAAATATTGGATTGAATAATTGATTTACTAGTACATTGTATTACTCAGTCCTGCCCCATGGCAATGCCAACTTGCCAGATCTATTTATTTTTTGTAACACGAATTTTGGTATTCATTTAATACAGTAGCATTGACAATAGTTACCGAGGGAGTGCAACTAGTATTTCAATATGGGGGGTCTTTTGAAATGAACCCAGATGAGAGACGTTTTTTTATAGAAGGGAAAAATTAAAGCTTACTAAATACCATGGAAATAATTCATTAGAGCAACTAAAAAGTTATTTTGAGAATTTGACATCATGTGAACCAAACAAGTTGACTATTACGTACCACAACACTCATTTATCTAGTGGCCTTGAAATGATTGGTATATGCGATGATGTAGAGGTATGTTATATATTGGGAGGGGAGTCTTTGAGTATTGTTGTATACATTGCATTTGTAATAGAACCGGAGCGAAGATCAATGGAATTTTCGACGACATAACATGTTGTTGATGGCCTATCTACAAGGAATAGATGCATGTATAATTTACATTTGCATATCTAATTTGCTTTAATTGAATCGTCCATGTGCACAAATATTTGTGATTTGCTTAGCTCAACGTATTTGTATTCTATATTTTGTTAACAGTCGATGTAATGCCCTTTACATTATAATTTAGAGCACATCCAAGTGGTACCCGTCCAAATAAAAAACGACCATGTACTTGCACCAAAGCGTGATATGAAAGATATTGAACCAATTGAGAGCCTAATGATGTTGTTTCAAAAATTAGCTAATATTTCGATAATGTTAATGAATGTCGGCATTATCTAGTTGATTTTGATGTCCACAATAATTTTATTTTCAAGTTTGTCAAAAGCGAGTAAGGACGGGTTTCGGCAAGTTGTAAGGAAGAGGGATATACGTAGCAAGTACAATGCTTAAAAGTTGAAAGTACGTCATACTTTGAAGTGAAGTCCATAATTAAGAAACACATATGTAGTGGTCCAATGGGCAGGATCCATCAACCATTAGCTCGTAGTGATTGGGTGGCAAAAAGATTAAAGCTTCATGACCAACTTAAGATTACAGTGAAAGACATTATAAGGATGTCAAACGCAATTACAGTGTCACGCTTTCCTACATGTAGGCTTGGCAGAGTAAAGAGGTTGCTAGGGAGATAGTCGATGAGTCGCATAACCAACAATACAAACCTTCCCTTATATTTGGAGAAGCTCCGAAGAACCAACCCTAGAATCAAAGTTCGCACCCGCACAAATAAAAGCATGATCCAATGATTATTTATTTCCTTTTGTTCATGTATCATGGGTTTTGTTAATGGATATAAATTAATAATGGGTATTGATGGGACATTCTTAAAATAAAATTATCAAAGCATATTGTTGTATCTCATTATCGTAGATACAAAATGATGCTATCTTCCCAATGGCATTTGCCGTGGTCGAGAAGGAGAACTATCAAAGTTGACATTTCTTCTTGAGTATTTTGAGTGATGCATTAAATGAGCATGTACATCTATTAGCTTTGACAATCGTATCAGATCGACAAAAAGCTTACCAGGAGCAATTGCAAAATGTTTTCCCATATCTTTTCTAGTATTATGCATTCGACATTTATGAGAGAACTTCAAGAGCTTTATGAAGAAGTCAACAAATACAATGCTGATATTGTTTTGGAAGGCTGCACGCAAAACGACTATTCTAGAGTTTGATAAAAAAATATTTGCTACACAGTGTACCAACCCAAAAGAATATGAGTGGATTAAGAATATCCCTCCCAAACAAATGCCTATTTTCAAGGGGCTAGATATAATCATCTTACCTTGAACATGGCTGAGTCATTCAACCGCTAGAGTTTACCTGCTCCGGACAAACCGATCATTGCAATGTGTGAAAAAATAAAAGTACAGTTGATGTACAAGTTTGAAGAGGAGAGAGTTAACTAATATTTGGAGCGGCATCCTAATACCGAAAGCCCAAGAATTACTTAACTTACAAAAGAATAAGACAAGATTTTTACACAGTTATATCAACCATGAATACACAGTTCAAGATTCACTATGCAGGGGAGAAGTTTGTTGTCAATTTAATTTAATGGACGTGCAGTTGTAGGAAATGGCAATTCAATGGCATATCATGGAGTCATGTCATTGCGGGTATTAACCACATGCACATGGATGTCACCACGTTCTGCAATCGATATTTCACAGTGGAATACTTTAAAAGGGTATTCCAAACACCCTTTGGGTATGTCTCGAATAATATTGAGTTGACTAGTATATTTAACAAAACAGTGTTGGCACTAAGGACAACACACCTTCCTAGTAGGCCAAAGAAGCAACAGAGAAAATTTGAGGTAAACACTCCACCAGCAATTAGAGTGCAAGCGATGTGGCATGGTGGGTCATAATAGGAGGATTTGCAGAGAACCGATAGACCATTAAGAAATCATAGCTTCTTAATGATGTATCAAATTATCGTTTTGGGGAATGTTATTTGATACAAAATTTTTAGGGAATGAATGTCATTGTAGTGGGATGAACGTCACGTGCATCAAAAATTTTGAGGAATGAATGTCATTATATTGGGATGAATGTCATTCGTATAAAATATATTGAGGAATGCATGTCACTGTATCAATTTTTTGGGGGATGAATGTAATTGCATCAAATTTTGGGGGCTGAATGTTATTGTAAGAAATGAAAATTCAGTCTGATTACTATTGGAATCATGAACCACAATTTTTGGTTTTGGAACCGAAAATATGCAATTTTTTTTTTTTCAAAAACCGAAAATATAGGATTTTCGGTTTTTGAAAACCGAAAAATAGCATTATTTTCCAATAACTTATTGGAAAAGTGGACTTGTGTTTTTGATATTTGAAAACCTGAAAATTATAAGATTTTCGGTTTTTCAAAAACCAAAAAAGGATTTTCAATTTTTGAAAAACCAAAAAACATTCTCATTTTTCATTAACTTACTAGGAAATGGATTGTCTTTTCGTTTTTTTGAAAAACGGGAAAACAATCTCATTTTCCAGTTATTTACTGGAAAATGGAACAATTTTTGGTTTTTCAAAAATCAAAAATCCTGTGTTTCAGTTTTACATTAGACTAATACGGTTATTCAGTTATTTAAGCTTTATTTAGTTATTTAAACCTCTTTCTAGATTTTATACTTTTCATCTACATAATATGGTATTGGGCCTCCCGTGATCCTTATCTTGTTTGCTAATGAACTTTATAGTCTTGGAAGAGGGTCATGAGTAAAGGAGAATCATTTGAACATTGTTTACATTAATCGAACAAAAAAACAAAACCTTCAAATTCTCCGCCCTTCAAATTCTCCTGTTTTGCAATGAGGGATTCTTCTTTCCAAGCCATCACCTCAGTGGTCACTCTTTGAATTTACTTCTAATAATGGGGATTTTAGGTTGCCTCCAAATCTCTCTACAAGTCCTTTCAATACACAAAATGAGGAGGATGCAAGATGCTCTTTATTAGTACAACATGTAATGCATTAGCTTCATTTTTAATAGCTTTTGGACTCAACGCCCTTTACATAAGGTTTCATGTGTCCCAAATTTTGTATGCTCTCTCTCTTTCTCTTTCTTTTTCTCTTTCTCTTTCTCTCGCTCTCAATTTTTATCCCCATAAAACAGCTAAAAAAAACAATACCAAAAATGTCGAATGAGTCTTAAAGCATTTTGCTCAAGGGGAATATGATTTAGTGACTTATTGTGTCAGACTCTTAGATTTGCTACAGAAAAGAAGATTATTATCTCAATTCAGAAATAATTTCCCTCTCAAACATTTTGGGTTTGAAATAAACTCAAAAAAGAAAAATAGACTCGATGTGAGCCCCAAAGTACATTAGTTAATGGATCTATGAAATTAATGTCATAATTTAGGTCAAATTGTAGAAAAACAAGACGAACACCCCCTCAATAAAATATCATTTCATCTTAATCCACATGGAGTTTCTCTCTCTCTCTCAAACTAAACTCTGATACGTAATAAAATAACTTGGTGTGGGCGTTGAATCATTATGTTTAGTGGAAGTATATAGCAATGACATTCATGCCACAATTTAGCTCATATTGTAGAAAAAAAAGGTTTGATCGCCCTTCAATAAAACAACTATTCTTCCAAACCACAAGGATTTTAATCACATTTTTTTATTTGAATCCAGACTCAAAATGAGTGAATAAAAGTCATGTTCCCTTGAAAACTAATACTAATTTGTGAGAGGAAAATACCATGAAATAGAGTACATAATTCCTGGATTTTGTGGGATCAAAACTGGCACCTCTTAATCATGAGTCCATAGCTCTAAATCCTTATATGATCTCCCATTGAAATTAAGATGATGCTACTATCCTCAAAATAAGAGTACAATTTGTCCA